GTTCAGGTCAGGTGGTTGTTGGGTTCAGGTCAGGTGGTTGTTGGGTTCAGGTCAGGTGGTTGTTGGGTTCAGGTCAGGTGGTTGTTGGGGTTCTGATGCTGTTTTTGCATCAAAAATACTGGGATATTAAAACAGTCATTTTATTTTATGTGAAAATATATTAATCTGATTAATATACAAATAAAAACAGAATATTTAGCACTTGATAAAATAAATCATTAATTTATTTATTTTTTAATTTTTTTAAGAAAGGCCTGAAAGAAGAAATCCTGTGTGGCAGCACTTCATACAGCCTGCACCAGACAAGGCTCAGTTAATAAATGTTTTTGTTTGTTTTAAATTAAGACTTGTGTAACATTTGTTATCAGCCTTATTTTTATCATGTTAATGGAGGAAGAAAAAGCAGTATCRGCTGCACRTATCGGCGTATCGGTTAGACTGATGTCAAACARTCGGYATCGGCCTTCAAAAACCTGTATCGGTCGATCTCTAGCATCGACTGTTCGTCTTCAGAGGGAGTATGTAGGAGCCATGAACCCGTGTGGTGACAGTGACTCAAAATGTAAAAACTTGTATTTCTCCACCTGGTTGTCGATCTTGATCTCTGTGAGTGTGTCGTTGTCGCGCAGCGCCTCAACCAAAGCCTGGACACCTGCCCCGGTGATGAAGTTGGACTCCAGGTTTAGACTCCTCAGCGTCTTGTTCTCTCGCAGCATGTCGCTGAAGGCCTGGCAGGAGGAGGAGGAGGTGTAAACACACCGCTGCCACGTGTCGACAAACAGGCTAACAACCCACAACTCACCACAGCAACCGGGTCGTTGCTCCGTGTTGCTGCCAGGCTGAGCTTCTTGACGTGCGTGTTCTTCTCCATGGCTTTGGCCAGGTCCTTCAGCGTGGGGATGGGAATGTTCTGGGAGACAGAGAGGCGCCGGCGTCGCTGCAAKGCTCAAACAGCACCAACACACACAGCAAGTTTGTGTTTTCCTACCTTGATGTTGTTGAGGTTGACGTCCGTCAAGGAGGCGTCGTTGGATTTTATCCTCTGCAGAGTTTCTTCTACGTTGGTGGGGTTGGGAGGCTCATCRAACACCGGGTTCATCTTCTCACCTTTGATCACATCTGGAGGAAACACAAAGTACACAGATCAATACTGACTTCTTTAGGTGTGGGGTTAAAGTGTGTACTCTGTGTACTCACTGTTGTAACCCTCTTTACTTCCATCGTACGTCTGGTTACTGGTGACCAGAGTATGCACGCCCAGGATGGCTGCAAACACAACATTCATCAGTTTAAAACCGTTTATCAGCTGAGTCCTGACAGGAACCAGARCCTCGTTGAGCTGCGACAGCTGCAGAAGAAACACGAAGGATTTGATGTTTCTGCCTCACAGAGATGTTTAAAACCAGCTCGGCTGCAGATATGCTCTGAAATCAGGTCTTGATTTCTTGATACAGCTGGAGTTAAAGATGTTCATCTGACTGCACTGCTTTAATTTCAGTTCTTATTAAGACTTGTTGTGAAGAGGAGAAATGTTTCCATTAAAACCCACAATCTGGTACAACTATCTTTATGGGGACCTGGCAATGACTTGCATTGTTTTCTACAGCCTAAGCTCACAGGTACCTGCCTGACCCTACAACTAACCTAAACTCAACAGGAGGGTTTCCCCTGATGTCACGATGCAGCGCCACGAGAGCGCCAAGTTCAGCTGGAGGTCAGGAAGTGAAAAAGTGGAGCATCTGCCATCAGAAAAAATGCCCATGTCTTGTGTAGTTTACAGGTGCTCCAATCATTCTAAGTTAATTATAAAGAATTATACTGATTCAATTATATTTAAAATTTTTAAATGATGGCTCTTTTTATTAATGTTAGTCATATCTGAAGCACGTTGCAGCAGGAGGATGTAACAGAGGGAACAAAAACACCTCAATCCAACGATAAAATACTGAATAAAAAACAGGAGTTTGATCTGATTAAACTGTAAAAACCTCCTGACTTACTTTGTGACGACTCGAGCAAACAGGAGGAGCTCAACAAACACACACACACACACACACACACACACACACACACACACACACAC